AAATTGCTTCACTTCATTCCTCTGTTTAAAATCTGGATTTCCCGGGGCACCTTGGTGGCTCAATCAGTTGAGTGTCTGACTCTTGGTTTTGGCACAGGTTGTGATCACGGGTCACGGGGTGGAACCCCACCTTGGGCTCTGCATTTGGTGGGAGTCTGCTTGAGATTCTCTCTCCCTCTCGCTCCTCCTCTATCCCTCTCCTTGCTGAGCATGTGCCTGCATATTCTCTCTCTGTCTCTCAAATAAATAAATAAAATCTTTTTTAAATATTTGGATTTCCCATTTCCTTCAGGATCAAGTACAAATTCTTATTTTATGGAACTTTTCATTATCTGGTTGCTTCCTATATTTCCAGCACCAGACTCCCAAGTCTGTGTTTTTTATTTTTATTTTATTTATTTTTATTTATTTATGTTTTATTTATTTATGTTATTTTTTATTTTATTTATTTTTATTTATACTTAAACTTCCTCTTATTTATTTATCATAGGGACTAGTGCAGTTACATAAAAAGCAAAAGTATCACTGCAGGAGAAGAGAAAATATATGAACATATTTTGGTAATCTTAGAGGTGGATACATTCTTCTGAAGTTAAGGATAAAACCCAGAAGCCTTATTTGGGTACATAAAGATTTAAATATTCTATATAACTAAACTGTAATTTAATAATTAAAAGTATCACCATAAGAAAATATTTGACATGTTTAACGTGTAAGAATATGGCAAAAAAAAAAACTACGTAAACATAAAACGAACTTCCACAAATACAAGAAAAAGATAGTCCAGTTAAAAAATGGGCAAAAACCAAACATTAGATAATTCATAGAGGAAATAGAAGTGGTCAGTAAATGCTGAGGTTCACTACAGAAGAAAGTCAATGAAAATAAAAAGGTAGCCTTTTTCACTCATCAGACTGGTAAAAATGAAAAGTACTAATATTATGAATTGGGAATTTCAATTGGTAAAATTACTTTTGAGTGCACTTTGGCAATATTAAAATAATGCTTATCCAGCAAATCTAATTTAAGAAATCTGTCCTAAAAAAATAAACTGCAGGGGCGCCTGGGTGGCTCAGTGGGTTAAGCCTCTGCCTTCGGCTCGGGTCATGGTCTCAGGGTCCTGGGATCGAGTCCCGCGTCGGGCTCTCTGCTCGGCAGGGAGCCTGCTTCCTCCTCTCTCTCTCTCTGCCTGCCTCTCTGCCTGCTTGTGATCTCTGTCTGTCAAATAAATAAATAAAATCTTAAAAAAAAAATAAAAAAATAAACTGCACTTGTGAATCAGGGAGGCTGTCAGAATGTCCACAGAAGTCTTATTTATAGAGCAAAATATTGAAAACAAACAATGTGTGTCAGAAGGGAACCAGTTAAATAAATTATAATATGTTCATATCATGAAATGGGTTACAGATGTTAAAATGAAAATGGTTGATCTCTGTGCATGACATAGATTTTTTTTTTAAGATTGTATTTATATTAGAGAGAGAATGAGTGCAAGTGGTGGAAGGGGCAGAGGGAAAGAGGATCTCAAGCAACTCTGCACTGATTGTGGAGCCCGTTGAGGGCTCCATCCCTGGCCCCTGAGATCGTGACCTGAGCTGAAATCAAGAGTTGGTTGCTTAACCAGCTGAGCTACCCAGGCACTCCAGGAAAGATATTTCTGTAGGGCAATGTGTGTAGTTTTAGTACCATTATTTTAAAGAGCATTAAATATAAAAAGGTTTATTTTTATGCATACAGCACTGAACTAGTAACAGTATTAACCACTGGAGTAAGGCTGACAGTGGGAGGAGTTGTAAGGGAATTTTGTATTTTATCCTGATACTTAAGAATTAAGACATAACATACATACACACATTTATTTATTTATAGAGATTTTATTTATTAGACAAAGCACAAGCAGGGGGCTGCAGCAGAGGGAGAGGGAGAAGCAGGCTCCCTGCTGAGCTGGGCGCCCAGCAAGGACTCCATCTGAGGACCTGAGATCATGGCCAGAGCTGAAGGCAGACACTTAACCATCTGAGCCACCCAGGAGCCCTAAGAATTACGACTTTTAATAGTGAGAATATATATGTTAAAGACAAAAGGAAATACTTAAATATATATAGCCTTTAATTCATATACATATACTCTTTATATATCTATATTATTTGCATAAAATGGATTACTGGAAATAAAATTGTTATATTAAAAGGAGTGAATATTCTTAAGGCTTTACTAAATTACTTTCTAAGATAGATGTACTAGTTTACATTGTTACCTTCAGAGAATGAACATACCTTTTATCTGTACCTTTGCTGATATCTAATATTATAATTAGAAAAAAATGACTCTTTAACACGTGAAAAAGCCATATTTATCTATCATTTGAATTTTCTTCTTTTTGTGAATTACCTGTTTGTATCCTTTGTTGCTCATTCTCCTTTGAATCAGTATGAACTCTATTTATAAAGAATGTTGGGGCACCTGGGTGGCTTAGTTTGTTAAGCATCTGTCTTCAGCTAAGGTCATGATCCCTGCCCTGTGGGGTGTCTGCTGCTCCCTCTCCCTCTCCCTGCTCCTCCGCCTGTTTATGCTCTCTCTCTGTCAAATAAATAAATGAAATTTAAAAAAAAAAAGTAATGTCAATGTTATGTATTGTATATATTTTTCTATTATATACAGTCTTAAAAATCTCTGCCTTATAAAATCTGCCATTCTAGTTACATTTAATATTTTTCTAATGACTTGTACTAATCATCTACATGAATCAATTTTTATTAGGCAATTATAATGATAACCTCAAGCTATAAGGTATGAGAGACATTTTCTAAATTTCCTAAATGGTTTCAGACTCATTTTTGTTTTGGGTTCCATTTTATGTTTTGTGCCTTCTCATTTTTCTTTTTTTGTCAGGAGACTATCAGTTGCATCATGCCTATTTTGTAGTTCAACTCTTAAAGGCTAGGAAAACATCTTCCTTTTGTTTATAATAGATAGCCATAAAATAGGAATAAGTGGTATATCAGTGAAGACTTGAGAGCTTTCCCTCTAAGCAAAATATATTAGTTATAGTACATTGATTTTAACTGTTCAGACTTAACGCCCTTATTAGGGTAGTTGGGGAGTGAAGACTGACAGTCAGCTTCTCATTTTTTTACATGTGTTCTATATTGGTATTTCCAGATAGCAGTCTTTAGAGGGGCACAGGACATTATTGATAATGCCTTTAAAAATGCTATAAATCATTCTTTGCAGATAATTACTCTTCCCTTTTTTTTCATCTTTGTTTTTTTTAGAATAATTTTTATTATTTTTTTTATAAACATATAATGAGTTATTAGCCCCAGGGGTACAGGTCTGTGAATTGCCAGGTTTACACACTTCATGGCACTCACCTAGCACATACCCTCCCCAATGTCCATAATCTTCCCTTTGTTTTATACATACTTAATATTTAGTTATGGAATTTTTATCTGTTAATAATTTGAGAATACCATCAAACGGAATCTTTGACACTATCTCTGATACAAAGTGTCAGAATGCACAATAATACTGAATATAGCCATTATTTATTTAATTAAATTTAGCATCTCCTGGGGGCACCTGGGTGGCTCAGTCAATTCAGTGTCTACCTTCTGCTCAGGTCATGATCTTGGGTCCTGGGATAGAGCCCAGCATCAGCCTCTCTGCTTAGCAGGGAGTCGTCTTCTCCCTCTCCTTCTGCTCCTCCCTCCTGCTTGTGTGCTCTCTCAAATAAATAAACTCTTAAAAAAAAAAATTCAGTATCTCTAATCATTTTATCAAGTAAAAGCTTTATATCCTTAAATATTTAGTGATTGCTTTCTGACTGAAAAATGTGATTTAGTCTGTTTTATATATTTACTGAAAAATTGTCCTCATTTTCTGATATTAGCTGAGTAATCAATTTAGTTACACAGTTAAAGGCTATATAGCTCCCCTCTTAGTTCCCAAGTATATAAATGGATGGTTGGCATTATAATGTATTTGGTCTGTGCCTGACAGTAATACTCATTTTCTTGTGCCTTTAAGCAGTCAAGGAGAACTACCTATCTTTGTTGTTTTTTAGTTCTTTTTTTTGCCCCAGGTTAAGGAATGGTGACCTTTAGTGCCAAAAGTATAGTTTGATAGAAGGCACTTCAGTTCGGAAGCAGTCAAGCCCAGCATTGTCATGTGTTAGGATATGAGTCACTGAAATTCCTTCCTCTAGACGTCTTGCATTATAGCAAGTGAGGATGAGAGGTTGGGTGGCAGTGCCAGTAGCCACTGAAAGCTTCTGGGTATTGTGATGAAATAGCTCTGCGTACCACTCCTTTTTTCCCCCCTTTAACCGGCCATCATATTTTTTAATGAAAAAGGTGAATGGAAATAAGGAAATGGTATCAGATCTGTTAAGATGAGCAGTTCTAATCTAAGGAACCTAGTACAAATCACCTGTGATGGAAATGGTACAGATCCTTCGGACATTAGCTCATGTACACATTAGTATTAAAATTACCAGACTTTAGTTTTAGATACAAATCTGTTGTGTTACTAATAAAAAAGCAATGTGGAAGCAATGTAGGACACCTAATGTAACCTTCATTTAATACTAATGAATCCTTAAGAAAGTCAAGGAGATAAATCACATCATATTCAGGATGAAATATTGAAGGCTTTGGTATCTCTAATAGTTAAAATTTACATGTGTGTTTTTAATTGTATCTTTTAAAAATCCTGTCTCCTTACCAAAATCCCAACCCCCAGGCAACCCAAAACCACTTTCAGAAAACCCAAGAATCTTAAAAATGTTTGGCTTTTCATGAAGAAATCAAAATAAATCAACCATATTGATTTTAATCCTTTATAGAAACAGTATATATTTCTTTTATCTTTGAGAAGTGTGTTATTCTAATGAATGAATCTACCATTTTAATTTGTATAAAAAATGCAGAAAAAGTTCTCTAATTTTTGGTATAGATCATTCATAGTTTTTGACAAGTAATGGAATTTTTATTTTAAAGATTCTGACAATGGAGATATTAATTATGATTATGTTCATGAGTTGTCATTGGAAATGAAGCGTCAGAAGATACAGAGGGAATTAATGAAGCTGGAACAAGAAAACATGGACAAGAGAGAAGAAATTATTATTAAAAAAGAGGTATGCTATTATTGAAATAAATGTTCGTAATTAGCATCAACATGGCTATTGATCAGAGAACTCATTAGCTGCTTGCTCTGTCTTAAATTGTACTAGGATATTGATACACTGATTAAATTATTATATATCTACATACGTCAATCATTTAATCTTCTCATTACTGTTAGATAAATTGAATTACTGTTAGATAAATTGAAATATTTTTGCTTTCGAACAGGTGAAAAACTGAGATTTTGTTGCCTAGAGTCACCAGCTAATGTTAAATAGGATTTAAATCTATGTATGTCTGTTTTTTAGGCCTAAGCTATTTCTAGAACACTTGTTTATTTTCTAGAGTAGAGATACAACTCATTGGAATATAATTTTGGTTTTTCTGAGGAGATTTAGAAGTTTTATCATTTTAGTTGGCTTTATTGATATTAGTGTTATGTTAGGACAGTTAATTATCATACTGGTTAAAAGCATGTGTTTAGGAGCCAGATTAATACATGGTATCTCTAGTAGCACTTAATATTTCATCTAAAGTTTGGTATGCTTTAAAAACACCTACTTTGTTACCTGATTATAACAGCCATGATTGAAGGAGTTTCTGAATTGACTTACTGAATTCTTTTAAAAGGTTTCACCAGAAGTAATTAGATCAAAATTATCTCCATCACCTTCTCTAAGAAAATCAAGCAAATCTCCAAAGCGAAAATCAAGCCCTAAGTCATCATCTTCAGCAAGCAAGAAAGACAGGAAGACAGCTGCAGTATCCTCACCCTTATTGGACCAGCAGAGGTCAGTAGGGTGGTAAATAATGCCAAAATGAAGTAGCTTTTTTTGAAATGATACTCAAAAAAATTAGTGGGTTACAGAAGGGTACTTAAAATATGTTAAATATTTAATGCAAATTTTTTTCTTCTAAGAAAAAGGTCAAAAGAGTTTCAATTTAAAAGAAGATTATACAGAACAATAAAACAGATGTCTGTGTCCCACCTATATATGCTTCAGAGCTTTTTTTTTTTTAAGATTAAAACATAATACATAGATATTCTGTCCTCCCCTCTTGAATTTGTTTTGATACTGGTGCATGTATGTTTATACTTTGATATATATTATTTTTATCTATTAATCTTACTACTTACATATTAAAGCTTTGCTTCTGCAACTTGCTTTTTCAGTTAACATTTTTTATATTTGTTTTGATGTATGTAGCCTTTTTTCATTTGTGTACTTACATTCTATATTTATTTTTCTGTTATTGAACATTTAGGTTGTTTTCAGTTTTTCACTGTTACAAGTTATACACAGTGAACGTTCTTCTTGTCTCCTTATGCATGTGGTTATGAGATTAGGTTCCTTATATCCTGTATATAGCAGTATGAAGATATTAGAGTTATTCCAGTAGCCAGTTGAGGAAATAAAAATAGAAATGGGAAAATATGATTACACTGAGGCACTAAGAATAGGACAGAAGACACTTTTCCACTTAATGTCGATCTGTACTATTTAAATATTGTTTTAATTAAAGCACATACACTAAATTTCTTCAAGAGAAAAACCCAAGCTAACCTCTTCCCAACATATGACCAGTTGGCAAACTGTCTATCTGAACCCACAAGGAAATTTCTGTCTTCTTCCTTTTAGTTTCTAGAGGTTTTAACCCTCTTTAAGACTCCAGGTACTTTCTGCCTAGATTATTATATCCTACTAACTGTATTTATTTTATCCAATGTCCACTCCCTTACACACATAAACATTTTATTTTCAACCCCAACTGATTCATTTTACAGAGAAATCTTGTGAGATAAATCCTGAAAGAGCAATTCTGATTAATATACTATGTCATTGAAAATCTCCGAATTTCCATTCTGTTGAATAAAATTCAAATTCTATTTTTAAACATTTTATTTATTTATGAGAGAGCCTGTGCATGTGCATGCATGAGCTGGGCGGTGGGGGGAGGACATGGGAAGGAAAGCAGACTCTCTGCTGAGCAGGAAGCCCAATGCACGGCAATGTCCCAGGACCCCGAAATCATGACCGGTGCTGAAGTCAGAGGCTTAACTGACAGAGCCACCCGAGTGCCCTAAAATTTAGATTCTTTAAGATGACATTTATACTTTGATCTTCTCAGTCTTGCGAATATTTTTGTCCAGTTTTCTTCCTCCTCTCTTCCATCTTCAGTTCTTCAATGTCTAGCTCAAATTCTGTCTTTCCATTAAGTTTTTCCATTTCTTTTTATTGAACATAACTTCTGTTCCTTTGCATATTAGGTTTTATTTATACCTCTCCTAATATTACTGTTTGTATTATATTTTATCTGTGGCATACATGTATTAGAACCTCTGTTAAATGTAAGCTCCTTGAAGTTTGGGATCTTGATGGTTCATTGTTTTTTCTCCCCACTGCACCCACTTCGTGTTGTGCTTTGCATTATAATAAGGCACTCTGTAAAGTTGACTTGATCCTCTCCTTTGCTTCTGGGATTGAGTAAATGTGGCAAAGAAATAGGAAGGAGTGAACTATAGAGTGGTGTGATCCACTCCGTTTGTTCTTGTTCTTTATCCTCTTGGCTAACCCAGTTAAATAACTATCCCTCAGTTCTATCCATTTCTGGAAAAAAAAATAAAAAATAACAAAAAACCAGCATATCAGAAATACCCTTTTTTTGTTTTCTTATCCTTTCTATTCATAAAAGCTTTGAAATTTAATCTCTTTTTAGAAAGTTTTGTTAACTGTTTAGATGAAGGGTTAGTTTCATCTTGTTATTTTTCATACAGTGTTCTTTATTAGTAATTCATTTATCCTCTTAGTATTTAGCAGAAATAATTACTCACCTTGATTTAACTGCTGTATTTCTTGTAGTCTAAGATGTTGTTGACTTTAAGATGCACCATTAATTTAGTAATTGAAGTAGAAGGGCCTGGAAAACAGTACGGTAGAGGCACAAGGAAAACACTGAATTGAGTATAGCATTTCCTTAGCCAAGCAGTTTATGTTGTGTGGAGTGTGTCAGATCATCAGCTTCTGGTTTCATTTGTTGAATCATACTGTAAGCTGTTTGAAGGCATATTAAGCAAAAAGTAAGGATTGGAATTTCAGTTAAAATTCAGTAGGGTGTTGGAGCAATGCCAGTAAGTCCGCTGAGGTGACAATCAGGTAAATAGACTCCTTGGTCTTGCAGTTATCATATTGAGTAGGCAGCACAATTACAGACAAATTGAAATTCATACGTCTTCCTGAAAGCTGGCAGTTTTCTTTGGTATTTATTGTGAAATGTGTCCTGATAGCAAGCTTTAGGCTATTATGGGAGATGGAAAATATTATGGGAGATGCTTAGAATCAGCAAATGTATTATGTGTTCTGTCCATCTACACTGTTTCTCAGTTTTTATTAAGTAAATTTTTCTTTATAACTCTTTGTACGAAGATGTACAAAGTAGGTTAAAAGCTGTTCAAAAGAAGTAGTTTTGAGGAGAGAGAAAGAAAGGATCTAAAAATGGTCGAAGTTGCTAATTGAGCTCTATGTCACAAATGGGAAGTAGGCTCTGCGTCATTAAAGAATAATCAGTTGACTTAAAAAAATGTTGAAAGATCTTGTTGACTTCAGAATGTCCAAAACCAGTTTGGATCTCTGTGGTTGGAAGGCACTTAAACCCTATATTATAACATAATATGATTTCCAACTACATATATTTTTGAAGATAATGTGAAGAAATTCTGTATTTCAGTGAATATGTTTGTGTAATCCTGGTTGTTTTAATAGCCTAATCCCAAAATGTGAGTTTAACGCTACAGAAGTTTATTTCTCACTGAAGTAAAATCAAAATGGGTGTTTCAGATCAATATGTTGCTGTCCTATACATAGAGATTCAGTAACCTAGGCTCTTTGTGACATGCTTCACTTGGGGTTTTGTGGACACCAAACAAATGGAATGTACAAAGAAAAAAATTAGAGTATTACTCTTACTTGGCTGAACAGTTTATAATTAATTGCCTGGAGTATGAGAGTCTTTTAATAGTTAGGGCTGGAAGTGGTATATATCACTTTTACTCACATTTTTTGGCCAGAACTTGGTCACTTAGCTATACCCAATTTCAAAAAAGTCTAGACAGTATGGTTCAACAGTGTGCCAGGGACAAAATTTAGTAAACAGCTAGTTAGTCTCTATCACAGGAAGTAATGTGAAAATAGTTTGTATCAAGAATTCCTCTATTATTTTATCTTTAAAATAATATTTTGATAGTGACTACTGCTTTTGTCTTTTAAGTGGAAAATATTTAGAAATTCAGGCATTTATCAGTTACTGTTAGATACATTAAAAGTTTGAGTTATCTCATAAATATGTAAGGAGATACATGGCTATGGTTCATAGTAGGAGACAAAGGTAAAAAATAGATTTGATCATACCTTAGTAATTTCTAACTTGCTATGTAGCTAACCTTATCTATGATAATAAGAAATAGGGATAAGGATTAAGAGCTAAATTTTCTGAATGTCCACAGAGTCCTTTGATTTTATACTTTTATTTTTTTTTTATTTTACCAGCAGTTTTGAAGAAGATGCTATTACCTTTTCATAGCTAAGGAATCAGATTAGAGACCTCAAGGTTACAGGAAGTAAGTTCTAGGATATAGACTTAGGTCATCATTTATAAAGACTAATAGTGAAATGAGTAGCTGGTGAAAACTTACAGATATATGAGGGCTGCTTCAAAACTCAGCACCAGACTGAACAATGTTGGAGAACACAAAAACGAATTTAAATAAAAATTCGTAATTTTAGTATAGTTTGAGAGAATGATTGCATTGAGAAGATGAGACCAGTTGACATGAAAATTAAAGCAATCTGTGAACAAGATATTTTGGAAGAAAAACAATTTTTTAAAAAACTGAAAATAGGGGCACCTGGGTGGCTCAGTGGGTTAAGCCTCTGCCTTTGGCTCAGGTCATGATCCCAGGGTCCTGGGATCGAGCCCTGCACTGGGCTCTCTGCTCAGCAGGGAGCCTGCTCCCCCCTCTCTCTCTGCCTGCGTCTTTACCTACTTGTGATCTCTGTGTGTCAAATAAAAAAATAAAATCTTTAAAAAAAACCTCAGAAAACTGAAAATGGGGCCCCTGGGTGGCTCAGTCAGTTAAGGGGCTGCCTTCGGCTCAGGTCATGATCCCAAGGCCCTGGGATCGAGCCCCACATTGGGCTCCTTGCTCAGTGGAGAGCCTGCTTCTCCCTACCCCTCTGCTTGCCACTCTGCCAACTTGTGCTCGCTCTCTCTCAAATAAAAAAATAAAATCTTAAAAAAAAACAACAACTGAAAATAGTAGAATAATGAGATTGCTGAATTATTTGGAACAAGTAGAATGAGTGCTGCTTAAAAGAATTACTGAATTTGAAGACATATTTAAGATTGGGAAACAAAAGGAGAGATAGAAATAATAAAAAAAAATAAGACATGGATGAGAGATCCAGATGTGGTAACTATAATAAAGCTAACCAGAGAGGCTTGGGCTATTTGGCGAATTGATAAAATAAAAATTTTTTGAAAAATTGAACTGAAAGACTTAAGGATTTGGGATTGAAATGGTTCACTGAGTTCTGGAGAAGGCTAAAAAAAAGAAAACCTAGTTATATCTTGGTGCAATTTTTTAATTTCCGAGGAAGAACGTCTTGTAATCATCCCAGCTGAAAAACTGGGTGTAACATGCATGGGGAAAAAGAAATGGGCTCTCTTTGTATTTTTCATCTGCAACACCAAATGTTATAAAATATTGTAGCAATATTTGAGAGCTCTGAGGAGAAAGGATATTAACACCAAAGTGCTATTATATTCAGTCAAATGATGACAGATCTGAGGTAAGGACAGACAATTTTAGATATATAAGAGGTCAGAGTTACACCATTTGAATAAAATTATTTAAAGTGCCAAATTAAAGAGGAGATTCTATACCCAATAATCACTTCCAGGTAGGTTAAATGTGAAAGGTCAAATTCCCAAATTTTAGGGGGGATTGTTTTTGTAATCTTAGAGTTGAGAAGATTTCTCAAATAAGACTTAGAAGATTTAAATGAATGTTTACGAACAGTGTTTAGGAATTGATTTATAGATGATGTAATTTTGTGTTCTTTATCATAAAACATGGAGGCCACCTAAAAAATTTACCAATCTGAAATCATTTAAAGAAGTTACGGAGCATATCTATTCAATGAAATTTGATAGTCTATAAAAATAATTATCTGCATCTGTTTTTTGTCATAGAAAAGATACCCCTGCTATGTTTAGTACAAAAACTTTTACAAAACATAATATAATTGGGGGAGGGAGAAGAGACATAGAAAATGTGTGGGCATATATCCAAGATGTTAACAAGGGTTAGTCTTGAGTAGTGGAATTACACGTGATTTTTATTTTTTTCATCTACTTTTCTATATAAGCTTAGGAAAATTCAGTTCATGCAGTTGTCTTGTTATTATTTCTATTTCTGAAAGAAACTCTTCATACTTCACCTCTTTCTCAGAGACCTACCCTTTAAGATTATTAATAAGTAGCAAGTTAAATTAATTATTTGCTCATTTCTGTGTGTTTTTTCCTGGATAGTGATTACTAATTAATAAGATAGTAAAAGGTGAGGAATGCTACCATTTTTTAAAATGTGCTTTATTGGGGCACCTGGGTGGCTCAGTGGGTTAAGCCTCTGCCTTCAGCTGAGGTCATGATCTCAGGGTCCTGGGATCAAGCCCTGCATGGGGCTCTCTGCTCAGCGGGGAGCCTGCCTCCCGCCCCCCCTCCTGCCTCTCTGCCTACTTGTGATCTCTCTCTCTGTCAAATAAATAAATAAAATCTTAAAAAAAACCCTAAAATGTGCTTTATTAAAATGAAAAAATACCCGTTTGACCTTCCAAAAGTATTTGGACCTCTAATGATAGCTTTGTATTACCGTCAGGAATTCAAAAGGCAACCAGAGTAAAAAGAAAGGACCCCGAACTCCTAGTCCACCTCCTCCTATACAGGAAGATATTGTTCTGGGGAAAAAATATAAAGAAAAGTATAAAGTAAAAGACAGAATAGAAGAAAAACCAAGAGATGGAAAAGACAGAGGACGAGATTTTGAAAGACAAAGAGAAAAAAGAGACAAGCCAAGGTAAGTAGGATTGTATGTTTTTAACAATCTTACTTTTGTAGAATTTAAAATACTTATTTTTCAGAAGCTTTTTTTCAGGCATTACTGTAGTAGATTTTTTAGTGTTTTAAAACTCTGTGTATGTGTTATTTAATAATTCCCATATTGAGTTAGGGATAATTCAATAAGCATTACCTTAAACATCATAAAATAATGAAATTTTTTATCTTAATCATTTTAAAGTGTACAGCTTAATAATATTAAGTATGCTCACATTGTCATGAAATAGATCTCCAGAACTTTTTCATCTTGTGCATCTGAAATTCATCTGAATATGCATTAAACAACTCCCTTCCCCTCCTCCCCCAGCTCCCCAGCCTTTAGTAACCACCATTCTACTTCCTGTATCTATGAATTTGACTTCTTGAGATACCTCATATAAGTGGAACTATTTTGTTTTTTTGTGACTGGTTTATTTCATTTGGCATAATGTCAAAATTCACCTATGTTTAGCATGTGACAGGATTGCCTTGCTTTTTACAGCTGAATGGTATTCTGCTGTCTGTATATCCATTCCCCTGGTGGACATATGGGTTACTTCCACCTCTTGGCTATTGGGAATAGTGCTGTGACAAGCATAGGTGTTTAAGTACTCTTCAAGACCCTTCTTTTGATATTTTTTGATACATATTCAGAAGTGGAATTCCCGGATAATATGATAGTTATGATAGTTCTGTTTTTACTTTTTGAGGAAATGTCATACTGTTTTCCGTACCAGTTGCTTTGGTTTACAATCCCACCAGCAGTGTACAAGGGTTTCAGTTTCTCCATATCCTCACCAATACTAGTTATTTTCTGGGTTTTTTTTTTTGGACAGTAGCCATCCTAATAGGTGTGAGGTGTTATCTTACTATGGTTTTAATTTGGCATTTCACTGATGATTGGTGATGTTGACCATCTTTTCATATGTTTTTTGGTCATTTGTGTATCATCTTTGGAATAATGTCTATTAATTGAGTTATTTGATTTTTTTGTTCTTGAGTTTTAGGAATCTATTATATATTCTGGATATTAACCCCAAATCAGATACGTGATTTGTATTTTCTCCCTTTTCCTAGGTTGCCTTTTCATTCACTCTGTTGATAATGTCCTTGATGCACAAAAGGTTTTAAGTTTGTTGTGATACCATTTGTCTATCTTTGTGATTGTTGCCTGTACTTTTGGTGTCATTTCCAAAATATCATTGCCATCTCCAGTGTTATAAAGGTTTTCTCCTAAGAAGTTTTATAGTTTTAGATCTTACACTTAGGTTTTTAGTCCCTTTGAAGTTAATTTTTGTACATGGTGTAAGATAAGGTTCCAACTTCATTTTTTTGCATGTAGATAACCAGTTTTCCCAGCGCTGTTTTTAAAAAACACTGTCTTTTCCTCATTGAGTGGTCTTGGTACCCTTATTGAATATCATTTGGCCATATGTGCAAGGATTTATTTCTAGACCCTCTATGGTACTCCACTGGTCTGTTTGTCTTTATGCCGGTGCCACGCTGTTTTGATTACTTAGCTTTCTAATACCTTTTAAACTGAGGAAGTGTGAATTCTCTCATTTTGTTCTTCTATATGAAAATTATTTTGGCTTCTTAACATGTCCCTTTGAATTCTGATCAATTTTTGGATGAATTTTTATATTTTTACCAAAAATGCCGTGGGATTTCAATCGCAATTGTGTCAAATCTGTAGGTTGCTTTCAGTAGTATGTACGTCTTAACAGTATTAAGTATTCTAATCCATGAGTGTGGAATGTATTTCCACTTATTTGTGCTTTCTTTAGTTTCTTCCAGTGATGTTTTATAGTTTTCAGTGTACAAGTTTTTGAACTCCTTGGTTAGGTTTATTCCTAAGTGTTACATTCTTTTTTTATGCCACTGTAACCAGAATTGTTTTCATAATTTTTCAGATTGTTCATTGTTAGCATATAGAAACAACTGATTTTTGTGTTTGATTTTGCTCATTATTGGTCAGTTCACATTTACTGTCTCTTAAATGAGTCAGTCTATGTAGGTTGTTTCATGTAGTCTATGTAGGTTGACTTGTTTCATGACCTGAAATGTAGTCTGTCCTGGAGAATATTCCATGTGCAGTTGAGAAGGCTGCGTATTCTACTACGGTTGGGTGGAGTGTTCTTTATATGTCTTTTAGGTCCAGTTGATCTTAGTCTTGTTCAAATCCTCTGTTTCTTTATTATTTTTCATCAGTTAATCAACATTAACTTTTTGGTATAAATGAAATTATATAAAAGCCAGCCAGTGAAAGAGCTGAGACCTTCTGAAAATCTGTTCATTTTAAAATTGTTTCAAAATCTAAAGTCACTGCATTAACTAATTTAAATTCTATGTATTTTATTAAATTCTTTCTCATGGCCAGTTTTCCCTCTGTTCTAACAATAGTACTTCTTAAAGATCTATTTTCAAAACTGACAAATTATAAATTCTTGATTTTTAAAATTCATTTATTTTGTGCTACTTAAGAGCAAATTAAAAAAAATTAACTTGAAGGTAATATTTTTGTGGTTCACAAGATTTATGAAATGCTTATAGATTTAATAGGGATGCTTTTCTCCATTTTTAAAAATTAGTTTTCAAATTTATCTTTTCATGAAATTAATCTTTAGTCAAGAAAAAATGTAAATCTTTTAGAAGGCTCTTGGCCTCTTTTCTTTGGAGTTACAGTGTATTGGAAAAGGCACAAGACTTGAAGTTACACAAATAGAAACTTTTATCTTGACTTTGCCGGTTGCATGATGTGATACCCTGAATAAGTTCTTTGTTTTCCCTGAACTTCTATTTCTTTAACTGTAAAATATGCATGATACTGACTTAGGGTTGAGGTGAGGATCAAATGAGATAATGCTTTAAAAAATAAGCAGAGTACTTTAATGATAAATTATAGTGTAGTGATATTTTAAAATGTCCTTCCATTTGTGGGTTTTCAGTTAAACTACATAGGTAATAGAATGTATCCATAAAGATATTTTTTTTCCTGATACTTTTGCAGTATCAGATTTAGAATCAGCTGTTAGTAATAAGGACTCATTGTGGAGGGCTTAAGTATATAAAGCAATAGTTCTTAAAGTTTCCTACATGTTGGAATCTGCCTGAGAGTCTTCAAAAAGTACTAATACCTGATTTCAATCCCCAGATACTCTGATTTAATTAGTATGAGGAGCAGCCTTGGTATCCAGATTTTTAAAGCTCATTTTGTGATACTAATGTTCATCAAAGTTTAGGAACCATACATTGAGATTTATTCTCTCATATATAAAGAAGCTCAGAGGGAGGCAGTCCAGGACCTGTACACTGTTCGTTCCACAGTCATTGGTGATCCAGGTGCTGTCTGCCTTGTGCATGCTTCCTTTTTTTTTTTTTTTTTAAAGATTTTTTTTATTTGAGAGAGGAAGTGGGGGGCGGTATGGAGAGAGAGAGCATGCACATGCACAGGAAGAGGGAGAAGCAGACTCCCCACTGAGCAGAGAACCAGACATGGATCCCAGGATTCTGGGATCTTGACTGGAGCCAGTCAGATGTTTAACCGACTGAGCCACCCAGGCACCCCCATGCTTCCTTTCTCAGAGTTATCCCATGGTTTAATATGACTACTGATGACTTAAGACATCCCATCCATGTTCTAGGCAGCAGAAAAATTATGAAGGGAGGAAAGTCTTAATTTTCCTGGAAGTCCCAAACACTATTTCCTGTTATATCTATGGGCCAGAATTTAGTCACATGGCTACATCTAGCTATGAGGGTGTCTTAGAAATGTAATCCTTTAAAAAAAAGAAAGAAAGAAATAGAATCCTTTAGTTGAGCATGTAACTGACCCGAATAAAATTGGGTTTACTAAAGAGCAAGGAGAGAATGAGTGTGAGGTAGCTCATTGCAGTCTCTACTACATTCTCATGATGCCGTTTCTGTTCATGTTACTAAGTAACAACATGTTATTAGAATGGAAGCAGTGTTATCTGCCACTTTATCTGGAAAGCCCTGTGAACTGGTATTTATAATATTATTTAGGATAAATTACCTACCCAATAAGCACTTAACATAGCTTTTTTTTTTTTTTTCTTAAGATTTTATTTATTTATCTGACAGAGATCACAAGTAGGCAGAGAGAGAGGAGGAAGCAGGTTCCCCACCGAGCAGAGAGCCTGATGCGGGGCTCGATCCCAGGACCTCAATCCCAGGACCCTGGATCATGACCTGAGCCAAAGGCAGAGGCTTTAACCCACTGAGCCACTCAGGCGCCCCTTAACATAGCTTTATAATTAGAAGTTCAACAAAACTCAGTCTTTGTCCAAAAAATAGATTCTGATGATAAGCTTAGTCCTTTCTTTGTCTTGGTAAGAGATCATCTTGTCTTATTTAGATGAATCCGTTTTTTTCTCTCCCTCTCTGGTGACTTGACTTGGAAGAACCAGAATGATTCTGTGAACCATTACTAGGACCTAGGAGCATTGTGCCTTGTTGGGGCAATAACAGAATGGTTAAGTGGAGCACCCACAATTCTTGAACATATTTCCCTAAAATATAGTTTATATTTTATTCATTCTAGTGGCTGTGTTTTTGGAAAATGACATGTAAATCAGATATAAATTATGTTAAATGATCTTGCTGATTTACATTTTAAGGAGTCTTTTCTTTAACAGTTCCTGGTATTTTCATTTTGTTGTTTTGACCCAGAAATCTCTGAGAGTTGATTCTTAACATATGTCCCTGGATACTTCACCATTGAAATAGTTACATGTTTTGTATTATGAGGAATTGAGTATTATGTAGGTTGATTCTTCATTTTCCAGTGTTATCCAGTGTTTCTTCCTAGCTGTGTCCAAGCAACAAGGTATCCTAGGACTTACCTATTATTTGGTACATAGAAAAATCTGAACTTGATTTATTTTGTTTGTCTAAGAAAATGAAGCACCAGAAGTAGGAGTACTGAAGAACTGCATGGGCACCTGACTTGCACTAGAG